ACACTCACACTCACTCACACACACACACACTCTCTCACAAAAACACACTCACACACACAGAGCCTTACCTGGGAATGCGTTGGGGTCGGGGTTCTTGTTGCACCAGTCGGTGTCGCAGCACATGGGGTAGATGCCGGTGTCGTGTTTGGCGGAGGGAGCGCAGACGAAGGGCCGGTCTCGCGGGATCAGCTCGTTCTCGCTGATGCACCAGCTCTGCTGTGTGGTCACTCCGCCGGATTTAGTGATGGACACGTAACACAGGCCGTCCGTGGCACACGTGTGGTTCGGACACCGGTGACAGTAGCACTGTAAGGCTGCAAACACACACAAATCACATCAGCGTCTTACAACTGTTATAATAAAACCAGGGCTGCTCATTTCATCATCTGTTCATTTGGTGCAATTAATTATGGACAAATTAACATGTTAAAATGACCACTGCATTTAACGCAGCGCCCCGTCCAGACCTGTCCATCATCTTACATTGATGCAGTGTCTGATGATCCTGATGCACGACTGACTGCGTGATGAAGTCTATTAGAATGCAGTTATATGAGCCTAAAATTTAAGATATGAGTGCAAAAGAATCACACTTTTATATTTCTATTATATGATATAGTTTAGCAATATCACACCAGCTAGAGTACTGCTTTTAACCAATATCTGCACCATTGATAATGTGAAACTGATTTATACAACAGTTCAATAAACAAGAAGTTAATACCGTTACATTTTAGACACAATATTGTCCATTTTCCCAATTTCTCAAATGAAAATGGTTACAATCAAAGCTACAGCAGAACTGATGAGCGTCTCTGATCAACACACAGAAGGGTTTCATTACTGAGTGAATCCACAGTTTTGAATAAATCAAGTGAATCAGTGACTCAAAGTCACTTTGTTTCTGAATAAATCTGCCGTTTGAATGAATCGGTTGAATGAATGATTCAATGACTCACTCAGTATGACAGCGACTCGCTGCCACCTATTGATTAGGTTTAGGTTCTTATTTAGAGTATAATTTCATTTTAAATCATTTAATATTTAAACATTTATTTTTTCTTAATGTATACCTATTAGGGCTGGACAATAATTCAATATCAATATGTATCGCGATATAATTTTTTTCAAACTCATTCGAACTGTGATATGATTTTTAAACACTTTTCCGATATTTCGATATACATTACCAGT